CTTTGGTGGAAATATAATGAACTTGTAACGAATGATCCATTGAATTGATCACATATAAAAATCTTCCCTTCATTTTCAAATCTCGGATCTTCAGAAATACTTGACTGAACATTTAATGCAATTCTGCCTTTTAATTGATCCAAATCATTATTTTGAATAAGGCCTAGGTCGCTATTTAAATTTTCTAAATTTTCTTTTAGATAAAATTTATGTTCCAAAAGTTGATGTTTATTTTTACTTCTAGAACCTTGTGCTTCGGCAAAGGTAACTGACAAACATGGAGATTTTTTCCAAACCGTTCTCCATTTTTGATCCTTTCTATCAGGGATGTTTTCATTATAGTTAGTTGTCCCACATTTTTTATGTTCATGATAACATCCATTCTGCCCTTCAAACTCATCCTCACTTGCCCAGTTTTTCTTTAAGTGTATAGTTTCAAGGCCACAGCTCCAAAATATCCCCAGTATCACTTTTTGGAATGCAGCTTCTATGCACTGCTTTTTCCACAGACTTTGGGCGTCATGAGAAAATACATCTGAAAGACATCAAACACATTTAAAATTCCAATTACTATACAGTTGAATATACTTTACAACAAAAATATGCAAAATGATACTAAGTTAAGAAGATCATGATGGTTGAATCAAAAATCTGAGACCTTTTTTCCTCCACTAATATACAAACTTAACACAAATATGCTAAAGAAAAACCAATTGAGTTTACAGTACCCCCAGTGAGTACAAAGATAAGAAAGGACAAATTAAGTGAGAAAAAGTTTATTGTGTTTGTGCACCACAGCAGGGAGCAATCAGTAAAAAAACTTTCAAATCATTGTTTTTCCCTATGGAAACAAACCAAAGAGTTTTTCTGGAGGTATCTAAAGACTGGTTATTCCTGTTTTTAACATGAAGCGCTAAAGGTAATAGAGATATTGTTCAAATGACAGATTGGGTGAGCTGACAACAAAGAAGAATGCTTCTTACAGCAACAGAGAGACTGCACTACCAATGACATTAGCCAAGGAAGAGATTAAATGCTTTCAAGAGAAAACACAGATAAGGAGGTAAAAGACCTCTACAGGGAGAACTATGAAACACTCACGAAGGAAATAGCAAAGGACATAAACAGGTGGAAAACCAAAACCATGCTCATGGGTCAGCACAATCAACATTGCTGAAATGACTGTACTACCCAAAGTGATCTACAGATTCAATGCAATCCCTAGTAAAATACCAACATGATTCTTCACAGATATAGAAAAAATAATTTTACACTTCGTATGGAACCAGAGAAGACCCCGTATAGCAAAATCAATCCTGGGCAATAAGAACAAAATGGGAGGCATCAATCTACCAGACTTCAAACTATACTACAACGCTATAGTAATTAAAACCACTTGGTACTGGCGCAAGAACAGGGACATTGACCAATGGAACAGAACTGAGAACCCAGATATAAAACCATCCTCATATAGCCATCTAATCTTGGACAAAGCAGACAAAAACATACACTGGGGAAGAGAATCCTTATTCAATAAATGGTGCTGGGAAAACTGGATAGCCACATGTAGAAGACTGAAACAGGATCCACACCTTTGACCTCTCACAAAAATGAACTCACAGTGGGTAACAGACTTGAACCTTAGGTGGGAAACTATTAGAATTCTAGAAGAAAATGTTGGAAAAACTCTTGTAGACATTGGCCTAGGCAAAGAATTCATGAAGAAGACCCCAAAGGCAATCACAGCAACAACAAAAATAAATAAAAGGGACCTGATCAAATTAAAAAGCTTCTGCACAGCCAAAGAAACTGTCACGAGAGCCAACAGACAACCTGCAGAATGGGAGAAAATTTTCGCATGCTACACATCTGATAAAGGGCTGATAACCAGAACCTATTTAGAACTCAGAAAAATCAGCAAGAAAAAATCAAACGACCCTATCAAAAAGTGGGAAAAGGACATGAACAGAAACTTTTCAAAAGAAGACAGAATAATGGCCAAAAAACATATGTAAAAATGCTCAACATCTCTAATCATCAGGGAAATGCAAATCAAAACCACAATGAGATATCGCTTATCTCCAGTGAGAATGGCCTTTATCAGAAAGTCCCAAAACAACAAATGTTGGCGTGGATGCAGAGAGATAGGAACACTCATACACTGCTGGTGGGACTGCAACCTATTGCAACCTCTGTGGAAAGCAATATGGAGATACCTTACAGAGATACAAGTAGATCTACCATTCTATCCAGCAATCCCATTACTGGATATCTACCCAAAAGAACAAAAGACATTCTATAAAAAAGACATCAGCACTCAAATGTTTATAGCAGCACAATTCACAATTGCAACAATGTGGAAAGAACCCAAGTGTCCATCAAGACGTGAGTGGATTAATAAAATGTGGTATATGTATACCATGGAGTACTATTCAGCTATAAGAAACAATGGTGATATAGCACCTCTTGTATTTTGCTGGATAGAGCTGGATCCCATTCTACTAAGTGAAGTATCCCAAGAATGGAAAAATAAGCACCACATGTACTCACCACCAAATTGGTTTCAGTGATCAACACCTAAGTACACATATAGGAATAACATTTATTGGGCGTCGGGCAGATGGGAGGGGGGAGGAGAGAATGGGTATATACATACATAATGAGTAAGATGCACACTGTCTGGGGGATGGACATGCTTGAAGCTCTGACTCTGGGGGGAGGGGGATCAAGGGCAACATACGTAACCGAAACATTTGTACCCCCATAATATGCAGAAAGAAAAAAAAATAGCCATACATGGTAGCACATGCTTGTAATCCCAGTTACTCAGGAGACTGAGGTAGGAGGATCAGTAGATCCCAGCAACTGGGGATTGCAGTGAGCTGTGACCATACCACTGTCTGAGAGACAGAATGAGATGCACCCTAAAAATAAGTGTCACAAATTACAAGAAATGGCATTATATTATGATAAATGGGTCCATTGACTAAGAAGCTATTCCAAGTATTGACATATATGCATCCAACATCAGCATTCCCAAATATATAAAGGAACTATTTATAGAATTGAAGCAAGAAAGAGACAGCAGCACAATAATAGCGGAAGACTTCAATATCCTTATGTTCAATAACACACAGAAAAACACACGGAAGATCTATAAGGAAATAGAAGACTTAAAAAGTACTAGAGACCAATTAGACCTAACAGTTATATACAGAACTCTCCACCCAACAACAGAAGAATAGATAATATTCTTAATCACACATGGCACATTAACCCAAATAGACAACTTTTTATGCCACAAAACAAGCTGTAAGAAATTTAAACAGATGGAAATTACACAAAGTAACATTTATGACTATACTAAAAATATGATGTTTAAACAAAAAAAACTGCCATATCCACAAATAGGTAGAAATTAAACAAAAAACTCTGGAAAACACTCTTGTTCAAGAACTTAAAAACTTAATATTGTTAAGATGCCAATACTACCTACAGTGATCTTCAAAAGCAATGTAATCTCTATCAAATACCAGTGGAAATTTTTGCAGAAATATTAAAATATTATAAAATTTCTATGGACTCTCAAAGGCCCACAAATAGGCAAACAACCTTAGAAGACAAAGACAAATTTTGAAGCATCACACTGTGATTCTAAAACGTATGAGTAAGCAACAACAATCAAACAATGTGGGCTGGTCCAAAGGTAGTCAGTTATCTCACTTGATTGTTCACAGTCAGTTACAGATTGAACTCCTTGTTCTACTACTTTCCCCCCTCCTCACTACTGCACTTGACTAGTCTTAAAAAAAAAAGTGGAAGTTGCATAATGACAAACAAATAAGTGACTAAACAGATTAGATAACATAAAAATAAACTCTCAAGTATACAGTCAACTTATCTTCAGCAAGCATTCCTTGCCCTCCTGAAAAAAAAAGGCACTGTCTTCAACAAATAGGGTTGGGAATACTATAAATCCACATGTGAAAAATAACGTGGAACCTTACTTTACATCATATGCAAACATTAACTCAAAATGGACTTAGTTTTTTGTACCAACTGTAAACAGAATTTTAAAATTTATTTTTCAGATAGGTCATGATTACCATATAGAAATGGTACTGAATTTTTTATGTTGATTTTGTATTCTGCAACTTGACAGAATTTATTAGTTCTATCAGCTTTTGGTTTAGTCTAGAGGGATTTTTTTTTATCTAAGAACAGTTTGTCTATAAACAGGGAAAATTTGACTTCCTACTTTCCAATTTAGATGTGTTTCCATTCTTTCTCTTGCCTAACTGCTTTGGGTAGAATTTCCACTACTATGTTAAATAGTAATGGTGAAAGTGGTTGTGCTCATCTTGTTCTAGATTTCAGAGAAAAAAACTTTCAGTTTTACCTGTTTATTATAATGTCAGTGTTTGTTAGTCACATACATCCTTTATTTTGTTATACTTTTTGACAGTGTTTATCATAAAGAAATTTTCAAGTGTGTCAAATGCTTCTGCATCTATAATAGCTAAAAAAAAAAAAAGAAAAGAAAAAAAGAAGTTAAGGTACCTAACAATAAACTAAACTAAAAAGGTGAATGATCTCTAGGCTGAAAACTATAAAATATTAATAAAAACATTGAAATAAATATGAGGAAATGGAAAAATATCTTGTGTTCATAGATTAAATGAATATTGTTAAAATGGCCATACTATTCAAAGCAATCTACATATTTAATGCAATTCTAATCAAAATACCAAAGACATTGTTCACAGAAATAGGAAAGAATTCCTAAAATTTATATAAAACCACAAAAGATCCCAAATAGCCAAAGCAATCCTGAGCAAAAAGAAAAAACCTGGGAACATCACACAATTTGACTACAAAATTTACTACAACAGTAACCAAAAGATTGTGGTACTGCCATAAAAACAAGAGACATAGACCAATGAACCAAATGAGCCCAGAAATAAATTCATGCACCCAAAGTTAACTAATTTTCAACAAAGCTGAACACAAAAGAAAGTATCTTCAATACGGATGCTGGGAAAATTGAAAATCCATATGCAGAAAAATGAGACTAGGCCCCTACCTCTCTCACCATATACAGAAACCAACTCAAAGTAAAGACTTAAATATAAGACCCCAAACTTTGAAACAATTAGAAAAAACACAGGAGATGCTTTTTAACATTTGATTGGGAAAGGGTTTTTTAAAAAATGAGACCTCAAGAGCACAGGCAACAAAAGCAAAAATAAATTAGATCACATCAAATTAAAAAGCTTTTGCACAGTGAAGGAAACACAGGGAAAAGACAATCTACACATTGGGAGAAGACACGTACAAACTATACACATGAGAAGAGGTTAATATCCAGAATATATAAAAGAACAACTCAAAACTAAAAAAATTTCCCAAAACATATACCCAAATGAAAAATACATGAAAGACTTAAACAGGTACTTCTCAAAAGACAGCATGAAAATTGTTAATAGGTACATGAAAATTTGCTAAACATTACTAATTATCAAGGAAATACAAATTCATATGTCAATGAAATACCAACTCACTTCAGTTAAAATGGGTATAATCAAAATGACAAAAAAAAATTGTTGGTCAGAATGTGATGAAAAAGGAACACCTACACAATGGGATTGTAAATTAGCACAGCCACTATAGAGAACAGTATGAAGGTTCTTCAAAAATTAAAAATAGACCTACTCTATGATCCAGCAATTTCACTACTGGGTATATATTCAAAGGAAAGAATGTAAGTGTGTCAAAAAGATACCTGCCCTCCTATGTTTACTGCAGCACTATTTACAATAGCCAAGTTACGGAATCAATCCAAATGTCCAATAATGGACAATGTGATAAGGAAAATGTGTTACATATATAGAATTAAATGCTATTCAACTGTAAAAAATGAATTCCTCTCATTTATAACAACGTGGATGGACCTAGAGACTACTATGTTAAGGGAAATAAGCCAGATACAGAAGATTACAGCATAATCTCACTCATATGTGGAACCTAAAATATACATAAAAAAGAGTGGATATCATAGAGGCAGAGAGTAGAACAATAGTTACCACAGAATGGTGGGTGGGTGGGAGGATAGAAAGAGGTTGCTAAACAGATACAAAGTTACAATTAGAGGCTGGACACAGTGGCTCACGCCTGTAATCCTAGTGCTCTGGGTGGCTGAGGTGGGAGGACAGCTTGAGCTCAGGAGTTGGAAACCAGCCTGAGCAAGAGAGAGACACTGTCTCTACTAAAAATGGAAAAAATTAGATAGGCGTGGTGGCACATGCCTGTATTCCAAGCTACTCAGGAGGCTGAGGCAGGAGGATCACTTGAGTCCAGGAGTTTGAGGTTGCTGTGAGAGAGGCTGACGCCATAACACCCAGTCAAAAGAGTGAGACTCTGTCTCAAAACAAACAAACAAAAAAATTAAAAGCAAAGAAAGACAAGATACAATCAGAAAGGAGGAATAAGTGCTGCAGTTCTACTGCATAATAAGGGTGACTATGGCTAACAGTAAGGTATTGTGCATTACAGAACACCTACAAGAGAGGCTTTTGCATGTTTTTACTCAAAGAACTAAAAATGCATGAGGTGGGCCGGGCGCGGTGGCTCACGCCTGTAATCCTAGCTCTCTGGGAGGCCGAGGCGGGCGGATTGTTTGAGCTCAGGGGTTCGAAACCAGCCTGAGCAAGAGCGAGACCCCGTCTCTGCTAAAATTAGAAAGAAATTAATTGGACAACTAAAAATATATAGAAAAAATTAGGCGGGCATGGTGGCGCATGCCTGTAGTCTCAGCTACTCGGGAGGCTGAGGCAGGAGGATCGCTTGAGCCCAGGAGTTTGAAGTTGCTGTGAGCTAGGATGACGCCACGGCACTCTAGCAAAAAAAAAAAAAAATGCACTGTCCAGATTTGGTCATTATACAACATATATATTAATACAACATATATTAATACATTTAGAAACCAAGTTGTACCCTATAAATGTGTACAGTTACAGTGTATCAATTTAAAAAATGGACTAAGACTTAAAAATAAGACTTATAATTGCAAAAGTCTTCAAAAACTATGTAAGGGGGACATGGTCATGACAACTGATCTTGGCAACGACTTCCTGGATATAACCTCAAAGGATCAGGCAACAAAAGCAAGAACATACACATGGTACTACATCAGTGTGTTCAAAATATTCGAAACACACTTAAACCAGAACATGGAATAGATATTAGCGCATACATGTACACTGCAGCATTTTCTTTTTCTTTTCTTTTCTTTTCTTTTTTTTTTTGAGACACAGACTCACTCTGTTGCCCAGGCTAGAGGATCATGGTGTCCGCCTAGCTCACAGCAACCTCATACTCCTGGGCTCAAGCAATCCTTCTATCTCAGCCTCCCAAGTAGCTGGGACTACAGGCCTGTGCTACCATGCTCAGCTAATTTTTTTCTATATACTTTTAGTTGTCCAGCTAATTTCTTTCTATTTTCAGTAGAGACTGGGTCTCACTCTTGCTCAGGCTGGTCTCGAACTCCTGAGCCCAAACCATCCTCCTGCCTGGGCCTCCCAGAGTGCTAGGATTACAGGTGTGATCCACCGTGCCCGGCCCAGCATTTTCACAAAAGACAATACCTGGAGGCAATCCCAGCATCCCTTTATGAATGAATAGACAAAGAAAATATAGCACATACCTACAATGGAATATTATTGATTCTTAAACAAAAGCTGAGGGTGTCCATCACACTACAATAGCCCTATAAGAAATACTAGAGAGAGTCCATTATGTTGAATAAAATGATGCTGGAAAGCATCATAAAGCCATATGAAAATATAAAGCTTCCTGTTAAAGGTAAATCTATGGACAGATATAGAATTCTCTACTATTACAAGGATGGCACATAAAACCCTTAAAATTATGCTATAGAATTTTTGAAAATGTAAAAAAGTCTCCAGTAATATATATACTATATGGAAAGTTAAAACTTGTGACATTGATAAAGTGGTAGAATGTAAAGAAGTAATCTTTGTATTCAATAGAAGTAAAGTTGTTACAAGATTACAATATATTGATTGTTTTATCTTTAAGATGTTTTATATAACTTCCATTTCTCAAGTTGATCACAAAGAAAATACCTATAGAAAGTATGCAAAGGAAAAAGAGAAAAGAATCAAAGCTTCTTGCTACAAAATAAACAAAATAAAAAGAAAGGAACTAAGAGTGGACATGGGAGAAAATACAGCTACAAAAAACATGGAAAAGGCCGGGCGCAAAAAAGGAAAAAAAA